TGCTTGCTTTTCCATGCATAAATGCTGCCATGCCTTTTTTCTGTCTCCCAGCACAAGCTTTTCACATTCTTTCCAGGCTTTAGCTCATGGAAGTAGATGATCTTTAAGGTGCTTTTCAACCCACGCCATTCAATGAGTCTATGCCATGAAGGTCATGCACAAGGTCTCTGAAGGCAGTGTTCCCAGCCCATGGTGAAACAGCGGGGCTGGGATTCCCAGTGGCAGTGGTGCGCACCGCACCAAGCCCAGCGGTGTGGGAAGCACAAGTTGCTCCATGGCAGAATGATGGGGGCCCAGGACCCTTCCTCACACTGACTCAGTCTCAGGTCTCCAGGGCTTGGGGCAAAGCTGTGTTTGTGCTTGCAGCCTTTCCAAGGCCTGCTGGAGTCTGAGGGGGAGCGTCCAAACAGACACGGCATCCAACACTCGCTTCCTTCTGTAACTCCTTAGTCTCTTCAGAGACAGATTACAGGAGGACAAGAAATGCCTTCAGAAGAAGGTAACAGAGGCTTGTAAATCTGCCAGAGAGCAGCAGGCAACTTTGGGAGTGGGGAAAGCCAGGAGCTGCTTGCATTTCCCCTCTGCTGCCTCCTCTCACAGGGCACTGACCTGGGAGGGAGCAGCTGAGGCCATGCCAGCTAAAATGACTGGATGTTGCTTATGGAAGGTTTCCCTTTTTCCATATAAAGACATTTTGAAGGGAAAGTACTTTTACCAGCAACTGAGGAGACTGGAGTGGGTTTATTTTCAGACCTGCAATAGCTTGTGAGAGAGTGAACAATGTTTAGCTTTTGCTTGGGTTTGGCCTCTCGGGGAGCGTTCCCAGCCTGAACCTGTGTGACCTGGGGCTGTGGCAGGGCGGCACCATGCACAGGAGGGCTGGCTGGGAGCCCAGCTGACATCCTGGTGAGCTTCAGCATGTGGTACATAGCTTCTTGTATTCATGGTCTGGGCTTCCACATGCTCCCAAGCACCAGGACATAGCCCACGGTGCTTAATGTCCAGCTGATTTTTGCCTTTAGTCACATACCTGTAGGCCACTTGATTTTAGCAAAAAAGTTACTGCTCTGCTGGCTGTGATTTTTATTGGATTGTGTGTGCGTGAACACCAAGGGAAGGTTGGTGAGGACCTGCTCATCCTCAGCTGTGAGTGACCACCCAGGTATATCCAGGTATCAGTGAGGGACAAGTGGGTGGGCTGGGAGATGCCAGGTCTCTGCAAGCTGAGGCTGGGCAGAGAAGAGGTGACTGGTGTAGGAGGGGTGTCAGGAGCAGATGCCAAATAACTTCCTCATTGAGGACGTCAGGGGCTCTGCTGTGCACGTCGCTGTGGCAGAAAAACAACTACATACAACAATGGGAACTCCTTTCCAGCTGCTATTTTTGACATAACACAGGCTGTCAGTTCCCTGCAAGCTGCAGAAAAAGTGTTTTCAGACTCTGTCCCAGGGTGAATGAGCTCTGGGGCTCTGTAAGAAGCGTCTTCCTGGGCCAGGGACAGCTATTTGTTTTACAAACAATGGGGAGAGCATGGAGGAAATGCTTGAAGTGCCTGTGGAGAGCAGCTGATCTCCATCAACAGCCTGGGCTGTCATCTTGGTCAAGGAGCTCCTGTGCAGTCAGGGAGCATCTGTACATCCACAGTGTCCTCAGCACGGTGGATGCAGGACAGTGTCCTCAGCAGGACAGTGGGGACCATTCAGCCACCTTGATGGTGGTGAACATTTTTATGGACAGGTGCAGCCCTCAGGTCCTCAGCCTGAAGGAAGCTGAGGGAGAAACCATTCCCTCTGTGGGCAGTGCTGCCAGCAGAGCAGCAAGGACTCCTAGGTGCAGGCTGTAGGATGAGGGTGGGGGGCTCCTTGCTGGCAAGAATCAAGACATTTGCTCTGTTCAAGGTGGGTTTGTTTCCAGTCCTGGCTTTGCTCCCTTCAGAAGAACTCCTGGAGCAAGAGGGGCACTCGGAGGAAGGAATGTCCTCACATCTTCCGAAGTGCATGCAAGGCTCCACCATCCCCTGCCTCTCCTGTTGTGTCAAGTTGCCGTATCATCTGTCCATGTCTGTCCACTTTGAGGGACTGTGGGAGGGAACGTGAGTGGGACCAGCACAGGCAGCAAGCAGGGTGGCTGCCATGCACCTGGGTGTCAGCTCACTGTGGTGAGAGTTTAGCTACTGCTGTGGCCAGTTGTGATTTGACTTTAAATCTGATGACTTCTTGGCCTTTCTCATTTATTTTTAGTGGCGGAAGAAGCCCAGCTCTAGAGTTTTGGCTGTGTGGATTTAAGTCAAATGTCCACAGAGAGCACAGTGACTTTTCCCATGACACTTGCTGCATCTCTCAGGACGTGCATTCCCTCCTGGTCTCAGAGCTGTGTCAGATACAGGCAGAGGCCTGTGGATGCTTCCAGCTCATTTTGCAGCCAATGTAGAACGTCATGTTCTGCCTGGTTGGATCAGGATGTACATCCCAAGCTCAGGACTAGCTTGTAACAGCCAAGCTCTCACTGTGCTGTGGCTGCTGTGCCAAGCCAGACAGGACTTTGCTGTGAAGCTGTGCAGGCAATTCTCCTGTCCAAGAAGATAAACAATTTCTCCTCACCCAGGAGGTGGGTAGAAATTCCTTGCCTCTTTTCCCCTGACAGCAATTGCTGCTGAAAAATCATGATGCGACCTGTTCATCCTGGCAGGGCAAGTGGGTGTCTGAACCCTTGGCACAGAGGGAAACTCAGCAGTAACCAAGACTGAGACACCTCAGGCAGGGGATTTAGTGGTGTGCTGAATGCTGCCAGTTCCCAAACGGGAGAATTGAGCTGGATCCTGGAACAGCATGACAGTGCCTTAAAATCCACCTGGCTTTTAATGTCAGAGTCAGGATCTGTCCTTTTCTGAGGTGAGAGATGAGGGGCACTTGTGTTTTTCCTGCCTCATGGAAGAGCCCCAGTGATAGGATGGTGTCATACAGGGGCAGACATAGCCCTGCCAGCCAGGGACAAGTCCCAAGCTCTGCTTTAGGAAAGCCAATTTGCAAGTGGAGGGCTGGACAACAGAATAATGGCAGCAGCAGCAGGATTTGCTGGGTGCATGTCAGCTGAGGTTTCACCCAGAGCATGGGTCCAGCCGAGCTGCCTGGGGACATTGTGTCACATCAGAGCTTCCAAGTGCCTTATTATCCCTATTGTTTAAGGGACAGCAGAAAAAGAACAGCTGGGCTGTGCAGGAAATGCTGCACTGGGTAAGGGGAGCACAGTGTGTGACCTGAGTTGGCCCCATCCTGGGGATGGCAATGTCCTGGGCTGGCCACTGTGGGGTACTCAGCAGGGGAAAACCTTCAGCAGGGTGTTGAAACACTGCTTAAATCCTCTTAGCTGAGACTCTGCAGATGAGGAGCACCTGGGCTGTGGTGTCTGCCAGGAAACCAGCCCGTGCTGAATATTAGGTGTGGTTTCAACCATTGCCCAGGGCTACACATAAAACTTTTCTGCTTCACCACAGCTGCTTCCTGTTAAAAATCAGAGCTGGGATAATTCTGTAACAGAGAATGTTGAGTGCAGGCACCCCTGGTCTCTTAGCAGCTTCCCACCAGCAGGCTGTGTACAGTCATTCCTGGAGAGAGGAGTCTTGAAAGAGAAGAGCAAACACTTCTCTGGGTTTGCACCAGCTGCTCAGGAGCAGGGAACTGCCTCAGCATCTCTTGGGCTAAAACAGAAGCAAGGCTGATACCTTTTGGCTGGTGATACCAGTGTGGATCTGCCCCCAGATCATGAGGAAGAAGAAAACACCAGCTTTCTGCTGGAAGATGTTGGTGCAGTGGGATGCATTTGAAACGGGGCTGCAGGGTAGAGTGCACATGCAGGGCTGAAATTAGTGCAGATTCAGGACTCCATAAGGAGCATCAGGATCCATATCTGCCCCTCTTTGATGGGGCTGGGAATGAGCGGTGTGTGGTCTGTGAGCCAGTAAAGCCAGGAGCTTCTGTCAGGCTGGCTCTAGAGTACCTGTCTGCATAGGAAATGCCTTCTCCTGATGGAGCGTAATGGGAGCTTAAGTTTCCTGCTACTGCCTGCATCTTCAGAAGGGGGAAAGCTGTTTGTGGTGTTCTTAAAGCTATCAATAACTGGAAATAAACATTCTGTGCTCCTTTGGTCTGCACTTCCTGTTGCAGGGAATTAATAGCTGCGTTTTGCAAAACAGCCTCGCTAAAGAGGGATTGAACAGAAAAGGCCTTTCTTCCCGTCCTGGGATATGGGTTATGTCTCCAGCATTTCCCAGCCTGAGGGATAAACATCTCCAGCCAGATCTGCAAAACAACCCTGCTCTGATCTGCTTTAGAAGCAACTCTCTATTTAACCAGGAATTGGAGCTCTCTGGAGTAAAATGGAGCTCTGCATTCACCTACTCCCTTCCCAGATCTTGCCCACCACTCAGAGAGCTCTGCCACCACTCAGCCAGCCTTCTTTGGCTGAGCATTGCACACAGGTGAAACAGAGCAGCATAACATTGAGTTCTGCTAGCCCACAGTGATGGGATTGAAATCACGCTGGGAGAAATGATGCTTCAAATTTGGGCAAGCTCTTCATGGTGTGATAGAGTGAGTGGGATGCACCCTGTCTCCTGGGGCTCTTTTCCTCCCTGCCAGCTGACTTGGTGACTGCATGGTAAGCAGAGCCAGCAGTTGGTACAGTTCTGCTCAGACCCTGAGATAACAGAATACAAACAGTATTTTACTTCTAACCTCAACCTTGCAAGGAGGAGGACTCATCACCTGAACTGCTCAACACTTGAGTTTTCATCTGGGACAAGAGCCCATCCGTCTGGATAGCTCAAGGCTGGGTGCATGTGCCACTTTAGAGAGAAGTGTTGTGATGTGGGATCAGTCCAGTGAACTTTGCTCCTAGCAGGGATCACCTTCACCTCATCCTCAAAACCGTGACTGGCTCCCTCTTAAAAGGCTTAACATGGAGGCAGGCTTGTATTTACCTGCTTTTCTCCCTTTTTGCAGGACCTTCCATTGTGACTCCTCCTAAGGACATCTGGAATGTGACAGGAGCACAAATCTACTTGAGCTGTGAAGTCATTGGCATCCCAACCCCTGTCCTCATCTGGAACAAGGTAAGGGCCCTGCTAGGAGCTCTCACAGCGCAGCAAACCTGAGGTGGCTGAAAGTGCCTGATAAGCACAAATGCCATAGCAGATCCCTGTGTAGGAACACACCTCTTTGATGAGTTCTCTCATCTCTGCTGTTCTGTCCACCCACAAACATCTGGTTTTGCTTAGTTTTTAGACATTATTTAGAAAATAAACTCTTTTTGATCCCAAGGCAGGACAGGACTCATGTTTCTCTTGGTAGCGCCTGATATTCAGAGCATGTAGGGAATGTCCCTTGACCTGCCTTCACCTTCACCCTGCTGGCAGCAGTGACTCCGAGGTGGCTAGACATCGCCCACGTCGGGAACAGGAACCACATGGGGCAGTCATTTAGCTCCAGTAGCCAGCAGCATGTTGATTTTGGCAGCACTGGTAACATCTGGCTTAGGACGGGGACCAGTGTTGAATGGAGAGGATCGTGGCCGCAGGGCTGAGAGCCACTGCATGGCTCCTGCAGCCTCCTCAAGTGCCACAGGTTTGTGCACACTTGTGAAGGGTCTTAAAATTAAGCCAAAACTTTACTACTTAAGGATACTATGGAGAAAAAATCTAGATTGGCCTAAAATTTGCTGTAAGACAGCAAGCTTTATTCATAGGGGTTCAAGAGCTGACTGTCAGGTGAGCATACAGTGTGGGCTTGTTGACTCACGCAGCATGTTCTGCTTGTTTATGAATAGATGCTGAGTTTACACTGACTGTCAGTGCTATTCTGCTTTTCATGCCTCTTCCTCATGGCAGAGAGACTGTTTGACCTGGTGGTAACAAGGGCTGAGCACCACTTATCCCGTGCTGAGCTCCGGGCTCAGATACTGGGGAAAGACTGCAGTGCTGCTTTCACATCGACGCTGTGCCTACCAGGAGGGACTGCCTGCTTTGCTGCAGCAGAAACAGGCAGGGCTGAACACACCCTGTGAACACACAAGTTCTGTGAGGCCAGATCAGCACAGGGCACGTTGGCACACCCCACTGCCCAGCACCATCCGTACCAGAAAACCAGGCCACTCTGTTGCTGCTGAGGGGAGGGGAACACAGCCTCAGTACTGAGGCACTGGGGTGGTGTGGCTGCACTACACTGAGGATGAGGTGAAACTCTGACACTAGAAATACTCTGCTGCTGCACAAAACACATTCATGTGTATCTAATGTTGATCTGTGTGCAGGTATAGTTCAGCATGCAGTTGCAGCAAAGTAAGCCCCAAAGTTCTTACCCATTCCTGCCCCTCTGTTTAGATAATTCGAGGACAGTACGGTGTCCAAAGGATGGAGCTTCTGCCTGGGGACCGGGAGAACTTGGCTATCCAGACCCGTGGGGGCCCTGAGAAACACGAAGTAACTGGCTGGGTGCTGGTGAGTACTGTGTGTATGCCCAGAGCTGAACAGACAGCAGAGTGCAGTTTGCAAACTGCTCATGAACAAAGAACAGTACAGGAGACAAATGGCAACAGACAGGGCATTTAGAGGAAAACAACCTGTGTGAGTTAAAGGATGTGGGTGGCTGCTGGTTCCAGTCTTACCTGGTGCATGCACCCTTCCTCTGTCTGGCATGCAGCAGAAGTGCGCATACCACTCACAAAATCAGAGGGGGAACAGAGGGGAGAACAGGGTTTGAAGTTCTATAAGATACCTGAAAACATAATCACCTCTACCAGAGCACAAGATGCTCACTGGGGAAATGGGGTGTGTTTCTTCCCTTAGATATCTCCTCTGAGCAAAGAGGATGCTGGGGAATATGAATGCCACGCATCAAATGCCAAAGGAGAGGCAACAGCTTCTGCAAAAATCCACGTTGTGGAAACTCTGCATGAAATAGCCCTGACCAAAGGTTGGTAAGTGTGGCTGAAGACCCAGCAGCTCTCTCCCCTAACAGCTTATTGTTATCTGTACAAAGGATCACCCCTGTTTAATGCTTTCAAAAAAAACCCAAAACCCACAAGCCTTCTCCCCCCACTAGAAATATCAGTTTAAGAAGCAGTTTTTTGCATTTGACAAAACATTCCAGCAAATTTTAGCTGCTAGAGTTCTCAAGGGATTGTCAAATAACCCCCCACATGCTGTAAAGTACTGGAAATATCAAATTAAAATTAAGAGGCACCTTCTGGGTTTTTTTTAGAGCAACTTCCAGTGGGTTTCCAGCCCTACATTTGTATCATCCTTTCAGTGTTGTTTGGATGCTTTCAAACCTCTTCCTTTCTCCTGGCAGTATTGGCACAGCAGACATTCCAGTTCCTGCCATGTTCTCTGCATGCTGGGATGTGAAACCTCAGAGATTTGCCACAGCACATCCTCTTTACTAGGCTGTGTGCAAAGCTGGTGGCAAATCAGCCACCCTCATCCCAGCTGCAGAGGATGGCTCAGTACCACAGCCACATTGTATGCTTAGAAATAAATCTGGAGAGCCAGAACAGTAACTGGAACCCTGCTAGAGGCAGAGGGACAGGGAATAAAGCACCAGGCTAGAGAATACTGTGCTGCCCAAATCCCCTATTGGACGCAATCCTTAGTTTTAATCCCTGCTAGCTCTATCCAAACTACAGAGTCTTGACTTTTTGTGTCCTTATGTCTGTGAAGAGCTAAAATACTTCCCTTAGAAGAACATTAGCAGCACTAGGCACTGAAAAGAGAGCTTACAATGAATCCAAATATAATGCACAGGAACTTTGTTAATGGTTTTAAGGTAGTCTCTAATCCCTTTTCAAACATCTTATTTATGGATGTGAATGAAATTGAGTTTTACTGAGTTGTGCCATGAACAGCTTGCTTATAGCCCAGAACAGAAAATGTTCGCTCCCTCCCTCACAGTAACTACTGTGAGGTTGCAGTGCTTCAGTTTGTTTCCTACACACACCCAGCACATGTTACAGCTGGTTCTTTTCAGCTGTAGGAAAGCTCTAAGGCATCTGGAGCTATGATAAGCAAATGTAGACTGCCACCTTAAAGGAAATGGATATAAAGTTAATGGAACGAACTGTCAGACATCATAGCAACACTGTGAGAGTCTGTGTGCCATGTCCAGGTGATCTCAGCACAGAAAAACGTGTCTATTATCACCCCCCTGTAGCAGGGAAGGAAGGAAAGAAGGCAGGAAGGAAGAAGGGGTCAGCTCTCACTGTCAGCCAAGAGATCCCAAAGCTATTGGCAAAGTTGCGATATTCCCCCGTGGGAGAGGACAGAGTGTAACATGTTTTTGTTTTTCCACAGATGATGGTGCAGAGCTGTGATGTGAGGACTTTCACTTACGCACAGTTTTAAATTAGTTTTTTGGAAAGCTGCAAGCTCTGGCTTTTTCTAGCTGACTAATCAGTCCCTCTTAACTCCCTTTTTCTTTGAGTCCTAATTTGCTTGCACACTTCTTTCACAGATACACAAATAGATTCACAAGTTCAATTACAAATTTTAATTCTATTTACAGAAAATAAACACTTTTGAACAGCACACAGCAGATGAGTAAAACTGTAATTTTGAATGCAATGTATACAAAATGAAACAAAACCTGAGCACTTGAGTCTCAAAATTTTTAAAAAAAGCCCTTTTAAGGCTAAACACTCATCATACGAGGCGCAATACTCATAGACATCAGTTCTTGGAAGAGGAGTTTGCAGGCATAGGGCATTCGAACCAAAGATATCTGGAAAGAGATTTCAAAAGTCTTGTGATAAACACTCATAAAGCATCAGCTTCCACCATCCTCTACACAAATAACTTGTTGAGTTTTTGGCTTAAAAGCAAACCTGGAGCTATGCATGAAAGCATTCAACAAGAATTGCTCACAGACAGTACCAAACCAAGAAGGAAGCTGAGACTGTCTGTAGGAGCTACACAGCAGCTCTCCAGAACACATTTTTAATGTAAAAATGAAGCCAAGGTATCTGATCCCAAACAAGAGCCATTTAACACAGAACATGTGCACAGCAGAGTGTGCCTGAAGTGCATAAATGCAGGTAAGGTCTCCAGCACACATCACTCTGTAACCCCAGTGCCACTGTTAAGCGCAGCTGTTAGTCCGTGGCACAAAAACAAGCCTGTTCAAGGCAACTGTTTTTATCTCTGCCACCTCTGTCCCTTGACATACTTCTGTAACCAAGCATGCACTGCAAAGCTTTTATTAGATTAAAAAACCCCCACCAAAGTGCAACACAAAAGACCTCCCGCAGGGACCCAGCTCTGCAAGCATAAATATCTTCATGGGACAGTCACAAGGGCGATGCCTCTAAATTCCTGTGATTCTGAGTTTTACTTCTAAAAATAAGCTCTTGAGCATTTAAAATCTCTGAAAACTCTGCACTGTACAACACTTGAACAGCATTTCCTGCCAAGTGACAAGCCAACACTGTAAAATTAATAAGGAAGCATCCAAATTGACTACAACGCTATAAACACTTAAAACAGTTATGAAACTAAAATAGCAATTGTTCTGGTGCTTCTTTAAATATTTACTTCCCTATCCTCCTGCTTCACTCAAGTGGCATTTCCTCCTGCCCACAAGGAGAAACAATGGCTGATGAAAACCACACGTACCTGAGTTTTATTACGGCATCCGCGGCATTCGTAGGTGTGAGTCCTCGTGTTTGCAATTGCCATGATTCCACAGAGGTTACACACATGGACCTGGTATGGGTCTGAAGCTTCAAACAATCTTTCTCTCAAGAACTGGGCTGCTCCATGAGCAATCTGGCAATCTCGTTCCATTTCTCCAAAGCGAAGGCCACCATCACTAAAAGGAAGAGAAAAACCTCTCAACTTTTGAGTTTACTGACAAAATAATCAGTTCTTGTTGGTGGAACAAGTATCTGTTTCACAAGGCAGGAGGAAAGCTGTGCATTAATTTTCCTCTAACACCACAGAATAAAACTGTGAAAACAGTAATTAATAACTGCTGATGAGCATTTCTACAGCTAGTGTCTGACAGCCACAGCACAACCATACAGCAAAATTAAGTGTATGATTAAATCATCCTCTGCTGATTTGTGGTGGGTTTAACCTTGGCTGTCTGCCAGATGTCCACCAAACAGCTCTCTGGTCCCCACCCTCTGAAAAAGGCATGGGGAGAAAGTAAGACCGAAAAGCTCATGAGTGGAGATAAAACCATGCTTATCAATTACTATTACAGACAAAACAGACTCAGCATGGGGAAAATGAGTTTATCACTCACTAGAAATGGAGAAGGATGATGAGAAATAAAGACAAAACTATAAAGTTCACTTCCCCAACCTTCTTCCCAGGGTTACTTCACTCCTTCATTCCCAACTCCTTCCTCCCCTCCCTGTGATGACTGGGAGAATGGGCATTGCAGTCAGTGCACCACAGCTCCTCTTAGCTGCTCCTTCCTCCTCACAACTTTTTCCTGCTCCAGCATGTGGCCCCTTCCATGGGATAGTCCTTCACAAACTGTTTCAGCATGGGCCCTTCCCACGGGGTACAATCCTTCAGGAACAGACTGCAGCAGCAGGAGTCCCTAACAGACCATACTTCCTACCAGGAGCCTGCTCCAGCGTGGGCTTTCCACAGGCTGTAGGGCAGTTCCTGTTGCATTTCCTCACTCCTCTCTCACAGTTGCTGCACAGCATCTTTTACCCTTTCTTAAATATATTCTCACAGAGGTGCAACCTGCACAGCTGCTGGGCTGAGCTCTGGCCAGCACTGGGGCTGCTAGGGCCAGCTGTAAGTGGCTTGTGTCCAGCATGGGGCAAGCCCTGGTCCTTTCTCAGAGAGGCCACCCCAGCAGTCCCTCCTGCTACCAAAACCTTGGCACCTGCAACCAATACAAGATCTTTAGCCAAACACATGAAAAAATAGGTGGCTATTTGGGGTGAGCTCATTAAGCTGCAAAGCTGAAGCTACTTGTTCAGGGCTAAAAACTGGACAGAAGAAAAAAACACCATATAGAAACTAACAGGGATCCTTACCGAGATCTGCCTTCCATGGGCTGTCTGTTAAGGATCTGGATTGGCCCTCGTGCACGGGAATGGATTTTGTCATCCACCATGTGCTTCAAGCGCTGGTAATAGGTAGGACCAATGAAGATCTGGGAGGTGATTTTTCGACCAGTGAAGCCATTGTAGAGGACCTGAAGAAGTCAATGCAATCATAAGCCTTATTACCCATCAAATGTATATTAAAAAAATTACACTGAATTGATACTTTGTTATACCTCATTTCCTCTTAGATGATAGCCATAATCTGACAGAAGGTTCGAAATCTTTTGCACATTGACAGCATCGTTAAAAGGTGTAGCATCACCAATTTCTCCCTTGTTTGCAGACACCTACAGAGAAGAGATTTGGAAAAGTTTGTCAGGTTTCTGAAGGACTGGTTAGACCATATTTAGCTGTTTCAAACAGTTGTAAGTCTTAATACTGGAATTTGAGATTCCATGCCAATAGTAGTACCCTATCTCACTGTGTTTATCTGCCACATATTGTTAAAAATACACACTATAAACAATTTTGCTACTCCTTTTTCTAGGTCAGGGGGAAATGTCTGGAACAAAAGCAACAGATGAGAAAGTACACTGTAAGTAGGGCCTGATATTCTGGATGAAATTTACAGGACTGTACATCCTCCCTAAGAAACCTCCTTTTGCTATCAAGTAACTGGAGACACATTTTTAAGTGAATTAACACCTACTAGATAGTGTTTACCTTTACAAAAAAAAACCAAAAACAAAATCAAAAAAATCTCAAAGCAAACAACTATCACCACCGAATTTTAATTCATATTGCTCAGACATGCAGTATAGAAGACTGTTCTTACCTTGCCCTGAAGACACTCAATCAAGTGACCAATGGTCATGCGGGAAGGGATAGCGTGGGGGTTGATAATGATATCAGGTGTGATGCCTTCACACGTGAAGGGCATATCCTAGAGCAGGGAAACACACAGTGAATTCTTTCCAGAACACCATGTTTAGGAAAAGTATGTGCCTGGATCCAAAGTAAGTCTTTTAAAGGATTTAAAAGGCATTGAAATATGTAAGAAGCAGCTGTGTCCCCTTCTAAAAATATTTTAGCTACATTTAAGTTAACGTTACACCTGAGTAGATATTTCACAAACAATTCACTTAAGAACAGTTCCAATGCTAAGATCATCACAGGTAAAATCTTCAGAAGAGAAAAAAGAAATGACTACCTCTTGCCTGTACTGGATACCACAGGTTCCTTTCTGACCGTGTCTGCTAGCGAATTTATCTCCAATTTGTGGAATTCTTACAGAACGTACCTGTAAGCCACAGGAAAACATGCAACTGGTAACTTGAATACAGACCAAAGATTATTAAAGCAGAAAGCACGAATGCCAGCACTCACCCTGATCTTGCAGAATTTGTATCCTTCCTGGTTCAGGGTTACCATGACCTGATCTACAATCCCAGTCTCACTGGTCCGCAGGAAGGTGCTGCAGTCTCTCTTGGTGAAGCGTCTGTTGGTGCTTTCCAGCTCATCTTCATTTTCTGGCAGTGTGACTGTTTTGCCAATGATGACATCATCCCCAGACACACGTACCCCAGGGGCTATCAAACCATCATCGTCAAGTTTGTCATAGATTGCGTGTCTCATACCTTGCAGGGGGAAAAAGGAACAAAAAAAGTAGACTCACAAATTTTTCAACATACTGACTCTTGATGTTCTGCAATAATTCAGCAAGTCTGCTTGCAACTTCAGGCAACTGCTAAAATACCTAATGCAAATATCTTAACTGATATGGTAATTTCTATAAAATACAGAAATGTCTGTATCAATATATCCCAAAATGAAGACTGAATCAGTTCAACATTAACTACCTTGCCCACAAAACCTTAATTTAAAAACCGAAGTCTTCATACACCCCTTTAACTTACCTTGGCAAGTTTCACGTGTAGGCTTTTCAAAAACTTCCTCTTGGTCATACCCTTTCTTAGACTCCTGCTCTTTGTATGAGCGATAGAACACAGACCTGAAACAAAGTTATAAAGTCTTCTCCAGTGAAACCAGCATCATTTTCCCCCATCTGTGTATCTCATTTTCACATATTATGGCTACTGTTACTAATGACAATCAAATGCAAATAATGAGTGCATGCCACACAACCTTTCCTCTGATTTCCTGTTAATCTGACCTTCACTGAGGAGGGGAAAACAAAAAAACAACCCACCAAACAAAAAAGTTTCAGAAGGCATTATGATGGTCACTTTGTAGATACTGCCAAAGTACCTAAGATAACATGCTAATTTTTGATGGAGTGCAAAGACTTTTGTATTTGCTCAACACCTCAGAAGTAGTTATTATTCCTAATGATTATTCACATCTACAACTTATCATTCTCATATTACCTTCCTCCTTATGCACGCAATTTTGCAGACATTTTTAGGCTTCTACTGCTACCCTGCAGTGCCACATTCAGTACAACTGAGCTGCAGTGAAAAACTTTCAATTTATATAAGGTTCTTTCTAGTGCTTTAA